AGCTCTGCGACGTCGAAATCTAATCTCGGGTTTCGCATGCGGACGATTCATGTGAGTTCGGTACACGAGAGCCGGTAAAATTTTGATATGACCCGCGTGTCATACATATCCGATAATGACTGGTTTTGAATTGGACCCACGTTTTGTAGCCTCGCATTGACACGGCATACAAAAGATGCCACGGGTCGTTGTCCTCGGGCCATCTCAAAGATGCAACTTGGGGGGGGCGACGGTCTCCATCTCCAACTTGCCGTGCATCATCATCACCAAATCTAGAAATACAATTATTATTGCGCGCAAATCTTTGCCCAAGAGAATATCCTAAGCGAGGGAGACAAACAGCTTAGCGAGAATATTCTCTCGCACTTTACTGTCAAACCCTTATCTGACTCGTTCGCGAACTTGACGATGCATTCCGTCTTTTACTATAAATTCCGCTCTTGCCGAGAAACCGTTGTGCGTGGGAATGAGGTTCATGGTCGGCCGATGTATCAATGCAGAGCAAGTTCTTCTTAGGTAGGGTTTGAGACCGCCTGAATGATGGGGCGCTTTTGTTGCTGATCACAGCTCTTGGAAACAGACCCTGAGAGGCAAAACCTTTCTCAGCTCTTGGCCACCGCTCGATGCCAGCTCCTGCGCAGCTGCAGTGCCACCCCTTTCGTCAACGAAGCTCGCCGTCCCTTCGTTTACAGAGTACGAAAGTGTGGAGGGTCTGTCTTCTCTCGTGAGTTTCCTCTCGCAAACATCGCAAACGCACGCACATCTCTCTCTCCCTCTGTCTCTCTCTGTCTCTCTCTCTCTCTGGGTGTGACATTTGATGAGGTTGACTACCTCTGTTAAGGTTTCCTCCGTGCTTTTACGAAGGTTGCCTGAAAGAGAGAGAGAGAGAGAGGGAGAGACATCGGTGGTGATGGTTGGAGCTGAGGTGAAAGCTTTGACGTGGCGTGGGCGAAGGTGGCGACATCGAGGGGTCCCTGGATCTGCGCGAGGGAGACGAAGAAAGGAAAGAGAATGCAGAAAGGGAAAGGGGAATAAAGGAAAACATGCTTGAACGAATGAAAGATATACTATCGTGCCTCTCCAAAAAATTGAAGATTCTAATGTGCCTGTCTTGATTAGTATATGTATTATATGTACATGACTTTCCTAAAAGTCAATGGCATCGGGTCCATACCAGTGGGATAAAAAATTCCATTGGGATAAAGACATCATCACCAAATTTCAAATTTTCTTTTTTTGTTCAATATCGTCACTGTATTTATTTATTTTTTTAATATTGTCTCCGAACTTTTAAATCTTTTATAACGTGGTCCTTTTGTAAAGAATGAACGAAATTTTCTTAGATTGATGTTACGACATCAAAGTCGCCTCATTTTGTTTGTTCAAATTCATCGCTGAACTTTGTTTGTTTGTTCGATTTCATGCTTGAATTATTTCTTTCTCCCTAATGGTCGTCGCTCAGAGTGTGGCAAGGATCATCAAGTATTCTTCAAGATAAATCTCGGTGACCCTTATCTAGAAGCTAGTCCAACACAACCGCTTCGTAAGACATGCACACTAAACTTGTCAATGTGTTTGTATAAGCTTTTAATTGCGATGAGTAATACATATGGAAGATATGAATTGACCCTTCCTCCCGTTTATAACGCGCTTGGGCTCGTTTAGTTAAGCAATTCAAAGCGTTACTTGTGTTAACTCGATTTATTTGGATACATTTAGAAAAGCATACGATATGTAAACACAAGTAATTATTTTTATACAGAAATGTACACATATTAAATGTTTTATATTACGCAATTCATTTAATTTACGTGTTATGTTTCGATTTTGAAGTTATGACATAGTTAACAAGTATTATGTGGTGGGATTAAAACTATATTTGGCATGGCCCAATGGAGAGACAGAATGAAAAATAGTTCACGAAATACATTGACGAATAAACAGAGAATGCAAACGACATTGAATGAGAATAATGACAAGTCATGAACTAAATGGAATACTTTATCTGCATCAGCAATTCCGTTGACGATTTTCATGGAAGGATTGCAATGAACCACTTCATAATAATTCGGGGACAAAATCAAACAAAAAAAAAATGGGATGATGACACAAATGGTCCAAGAACTTTTAAATTTGTTCAATATGATCCATAAACTTTAGTCCAAAGTGTAATGTCTCTCTAAACTTTTAATTTGTTTAATATGATCTTTGAGCTTTTGGTACATGTTTAATTTAATCTATAAATTGTATGAAAGTGTTTAATGCTGTCGTTCTATCAATTCAAGTTCAAGGACAACATTGACCATTTTCATATTATCTAGGGACTACATTGAACAAATTTAAGGTTTAAGAATTACGCTACGTATTAGGCCAAAGTTTAAGAACCATTTGTGTCATTTATCCGGAAAAAAAAAAGAAAGGAAAATGCCACCAAAAACCCCAAATTATGCCACTGGTGACACATTTACCCTGAACTTTTTTTTGTGACACGAAAAATCTCAAACTATGCAACTCGTGATAAATTTACCCTGAACTTTTTTTTATGACACGAAAAACCCCAAACTATACCACTTGTGACACATTTACCCCACAATACTTTGACCCATGAGCATTTTCGTCTTTTTTTCTTTCTTTCTTCTCCGGCGGAGGGAAGCCGGCGAGGGCGGTCCTCGCCGGCGGTGGGTTGGGTGAGGGCTGCCCTCGCCGGCATCGGGCGAGGGTCGCCCACTCCTGGGCGGGCGAGGGCTGCCCTCGCCGGATCTGGCGAGGACGACCCTCGCTCGACGCCGGCGAGGGTTGCCCACGCCTTGTCGGCAAGGGTGACCCTTGCCGGCAAGGGTGACCCTTGCCGGCGTCGGCGAGGCCGCCCCGCCAACATCGGACGAGGGCGGCCTCGCCGAGCCGCCGAGAGTCGCCCTCGCCCACCCGGGCGTGGGCGACCCTCGCCCGACGCCGGCGAGGGCGGCCCTCCCCCAACCCACCGCCGGCGAGGACCGCCCTCGCCGGCTTCCCTCCGCCGGAGAAGAAAGGAAAAGGAAAAAGATGAAAATGCCCATGGGTCAAAGTATTGTAGGGTAAATGTGTCATAAGTGACATAGTTTGGAGTTTTTCGTGTCATAAAAAAAAAGTTCAGGGTAAATTTTTCCCAAGTGGCATAGTTCGGGGTTTTTCGTGTCACAAAAAAAAGTTCAGAATAAATGTGTCACAAGTGATATAGTTTAAGATTTTTGGTGGCATTTTTCCAAAAAAAATGTATTCATGATATTAAGCAAAGAACAAAAAGTTCAAAAGACTATTTGGTACCCACTATTACCCATTCAAGCATGATTGGTGGTGGTGTTGGGCCAAATGGGGGGAGGAGGGGAGGGGGGGGGGGAGCATCATAACCTAATCTACCCCCGGTCCCTCTCTCTCTTTCGAGTGCGAAATTTGTGATAACGTAATCTTTCTTTCTTTTGCTTTCTCTCCTTTTTCTTCTCCTTTTGTCCTCGAGCTGGAAGGATGCAAAAAGTGGCACGGGTGCTTCTTCCTGTTCCTTCCGATTCTCTCCACTCGTGTGGTCCCCGGCCATGGCCCTCCTTAGCTTCCCCACCCCCCGCGCGCGCACATACCAACAACGAAAAGCACAAACGTTGTTTAGCAAATTCACGTGCTGCCCACCCCCTCGAAATTTCGGAATAGGGCGGACAGACCTCCCCCGGAGATTCCGTTCGCATAAACAGTTTCGTCCCCTAGTTCGTTTGATTCCACAATCTCTTCTAATCGGGGGGATTGGATTCCGACGCCACATCCGCGGAGTCTGAGCAATTCTCTGATGTCAGGTTTTTCTCGACGTCCCTCCAAAGGGAGTTCCCGTAAGGAATAAAAACGTGGATACCGTCGAACTCCGGCGGTCCTAGTGTTCAGGGCGAGAGACCGGTGCACGGTTTAAGTGCACACACCCCATCAGGGGCCATCGGGACCAGAATGTGTGATACGATCCGGAGAAGAAAAGGAGCAAAGAGAGGGGGGGAAAGAAATAGAACGGGGGGCGACTTTCTCGAACGGTGAAAAGGGAAAAGACCCGTATAGATTATGTATCGCGGCTTTGCTACGTCCAATTTGGATCCTTTGCGCAACCAACATCCAAAGTCGTACCCCCCCCTTCTCCTCTCCGTTCCCACGTTCGGCAAACAAAGGGGGCAGAGATCTCGTTTTCTTTCCCTTTCTCTTCCTTTTTTGGCCGATTCGCTCGGCAGGGGGCCCCTCCCCCTTTTTTTTTGGCTCACACAACGCACAAAAGAAAATTCCCCACCCACCCCTCTCCCTCTCCCTCTCCCTCTCCCTATCTATCTTACTTTCTTTTGTCTGCCTCAATCAACGTTGGCCCTACCAAAATCAGAGAGAGAGAGAGAGTGTGTGTGTGTTTAGATATCGATGGATCTTAGCCGGAAAAGAAAAAGAAAAGGAAAAGGAAAAGAAAAACCCACCGTTGAAAGATAGACCGTATTAGTAAAAGAAAAGAAGAAGTCTTTTCTATCCATCCAATCTCTCATTGATGGCGATGGACCCCCGCCTGCCCCGAAAGAGGAACAGATGATGGAGGGAAACCATCGAAAGCTCATTGGTGGGGCTTGCATATATGTTATCATTATTACAACATGTTGTGTGACGACATGGGCAATAATCATCTTCCCCCCCTCCAAGCAAAAGGATGAAAAAATAAATGATACCTGCAGAAGCAGACCGAGGCCACGTGTGTGTGTGTGTGTGTGTGTGTGTGTTGGAGTTCCACTCTTTCAGAATCTCCCCCGAAGTGTAAAGTGGTATCTGCACAATTAGTTCATTTATCCTCTCCTCCTCTGTATCAGAGAGGACTGAAGCATTAGGCCTTACAAGCCAAAGATCCTAGTTATGGAATGGAAAAAGGCCCCTGCTTTGTAGCAGCAAACATGCAATCATGACCTGTTAACAAAAACGTAAAGGGAAGAGGGAAATCCAAGTAGGACAGCTCTCGGAGATGAAAAAAATTCGGAAGGGTCCATTTTATATGTGCCAGGCATATACATATACACCCTTCACGGTAGTAGTAGCATATATATATTGTCAGAAGATGTTTTGCTGCACTTTTTTCCTGGAAATATCAAAACCCCCCTCAAGGAAAGAGGAAAGAGAAGATCTACAAAAGACAACAGAAAAAACCACCGGTACAACCCCAAAAAGAGGTGGGTCTTCCTCTTCCTCAAACGCCTGGACCTGATATGGGCTCTTTACCTATCCCCCTTTCCTCTTTTCCCCCCTACAAAAACACAGATTCAATTGTTGCTTTGCACTGTCCATTCTCTCTCCCTCTCTCGCAGCTGTCTCTCTCACCACCATCAAAACCAATCAACATATTAGCAGATTTCACAACCAACCCGGGTCAGCAGATTAAATACAAAGGGGGGCGATGATCGAGGACGAATAAACATTTTGCAGGAACAGCCCCCACAGGGAACGAACCATCATCTCCCCTTCTTGCTGGTTCAACCTCCTCCAAAATTGTGGATCCCAGGTTGCACCATCTTGTTTCCGGCCACGTCCCTTCCCCGACAGAAGCCAAGCCATCTGAAACTCACGCTTCTTCTCGCGCTGCCATAGGGGGGTATAAACGATCAATTTCCTGAGCGAAAATCAAACGTAACTTTTCAAAAACTTATACATCTCTAATCCAAACTACAACAGTGAAGTTTTCCTTTTTTATGTCTTCTTCTCATTTATACATGCTGTGTTTCGCAGTTTAGTTGTTCCTTATAAGAGTAAAGTAACGCAAAAAGCTGACAAGGCATGTCTCTACTCACCAGCAGGCTGTTTTTGTTCGGCTGGTTTCACCTGCACCGCATTCGGAACAGGATGAATATACGAAAACCCAGCTGGTACAAGCTGATGCTGACTGCCGGATGGCGGCGCAACAGTGAACTGAGCAGCATGGAGAATACTCTGTGAGGGCAATCCACCTCCTCCCTTCATGTTACTCGCAGCAACAGCTTTTACAGGATCACAAGTACTAGCATTAGCAAGGGTAACGGGGGTACAGAGCGACAACATCCCCGATGAGGAAGTTGCTGCTGAGCCTTGTGGTTGCTGGGATTTGGACTGTTGGTCGGGTGGTCTTCTCTGATGATAATAGGCATTAGTGGCAGAGGCTGTTGAAGTTGAATTTGTTGAATGAGGAGCTTGAAGCTGCACATAATTATGAGAAAAGAAAAGCTGTGCCTGCTGCAATTGCTGCTTTGGAAGCTGTTGCTGATGTTTGGTTCCTCCACTCGAGGAAGATGTCACCTGCGAGTTCCCCAAGATCGACGGTACATTCCCCGTGCCAACAGGCGATGACTTGCGAGTAGGCAACGATGAGGGGTTCTTCACTTGTACTTGCAATGAGGAAGCTTGTGCAGATTTGTTGCCCGTAGAGGATGAAGTGGCAGTCCTTGGGCTTCCACCAGCGCTTTTAGACATTGAAGAAGTAGTTGGTGATCCAACCACCACAGGAGAAGATGGAGATTGATTACTATTAGGAATTTGTTGACCCTGTAGGGCATTAGGGGATTTGGAGTTGGCTGCGAAGGAGATGTGTGTCTGGCCTTGCTGTGTTCGGCCCTGCTGTTGCGGAAGATTTTTAAGGGATGATGTAGAGGTGTTGCCGAGAGAGGATGGAACTTGAGATGTAGCTGGCCGAATTGAACCCTTCCATTGCGTAGACTGACTTTGAGCGGAACTCGTTTGCATCAGATTTTGGGGAAATGGAGACAGACTGGGAAATTTGGAGGCAGCTGCGGAAGATGGATGATCACCATACACACTTCCATTGCTAGTCACAGGAGACTTGCTCCGAGCTGCAGCAGCAAACTGCGGATGCTTCTGGAGCTGAATCATCTGCTGCTGCTGTTGATTCCGCTGAAGTTGCTGCTGGGAAGTGGGTCCACTGTGGGTGCTCCCAACAGCCGGTATTACTGAACCAGAAGTTCGAGAAGCAGCAGAGCCAAGGTTTAAGGTTCGGGCAGAACTATCAACAACGTTACTGCCAGGTAATGCGGAAACTGAAGTATCGGCCAGATCGGGCCGAGAAAATGCAATAGATTGCCCGATTGTTGCCGGAGTCTTCCCAGCAAGTGGCTTTCTTTCATCTTCATTGGAAGCATCCATTTTGCCTTCATCAGTAGCCCGGTGATTCTTCTTCTGCTGTGCAGATTGTGTAACGGCAGGAGCAGCCATGATCTGATAATTATGCCTATTGGCCTCAGGGAGGCTCTGGAGAATGGCGTGATTCGGTGCTATCATGTCGAGGCCATGCGCAGATGCTGAACTACTAATGGAGGAGAATGACATTGCAAAAGCCGGAGATGGAAATGACTCCAATCCAGATTTTGGACCCGGCTGTTGTGGAAGCAGATGCTGCTGCTTCTTTTCACCGGGAGTGCTGCCGGTGCCGTTGGCTGCACCCAACTGAACAGGGGTCATCAGAGCAAAGTTCCCAGTAGGTATGGGCACAGTGAAATTCTGACCGTAGATGTTCATATTAGCGCGCGCGACTCGACTATCAGCAGTTGAAGGGCTATCTTCACCACCTTCACATTCCAGGGCGCGAACTTGATGAGGCGCATGTTGGTTGTGCTGCAGCTGCAGTTGCTGTGCTTGCTGGGTCTTAGCAGAAGGAAAGCCGGGCAAGTTTCCATTACTGTTATGCGGTCTCTGCTGCTGATTTTGCAAGTGCTTCTGGGTCGATGAGGAACTACTGGAAATGCTAGCGTTATGATGACCCGGTTGCGACTGTGGCAACTGAGCAGGCGATTGCTGCTGGAGCTGCGAAGGGTGGAGCATTTGAGAAGAGTAGAATGATCCATTGAAGAAGGGCATCGCCTGAGCATGGGAACCTCGGTAAGCTGGCGGAGCCCCAACATGAGCCGGCACAGGAAATGGATATGCATTATTCTGCAAAATTGCCAAGTACTGAGCTTCACCTCCAGGCATATTTGGATAGTTGAAGCTCATTGCTGTAGCTGCAGCTGCAGCAGAGCTGCCACTTGAGGCGGATGTGGAGGCGCCAGCTGCAGCCGCAACTACATTTGGGGACTTTGCGAGTCCGGGTCGGACAGAAGCGGCAGCAGCTGCCGCATGTTGCTGGTGGCTCAGAGGGAAGATGAAAGCAGGGCCGTGCTGAAACATAGAGAAAAGAAGAGAATGACTTTCCCCACATAACTCTCAAACCAGATAAAGATGAACATCAACACAAATCTAAAATAAAGTACACACCAGAATATTGCTAGGTGCTCCAGGAGGTAGACTTTGCTGGAGCAAAATTTGCTTTCTTTGAGAAGCATCAATACTATTTGCCGACTGAGATGCCTTCTCTTTACCGGGAAAGATGGCAGGATTTTGACCCTTGTCCGGGAGCGCATTCATATTTCTAGTGGACGTCAAATTTCCATGCAACTCAGGGGATGGAACCACATTGAGATTGCAGGGCTTGGCCCCATAAAGCGAAGCCGAACCAGCAGCTGCCGTCCAGAAGGGATTCATCCTCGTGAATTGCTGGTGAATATTAATATTCCGAGCAATGTAGCAGTGGTTGGCGCACCTCTTCGGACGGGGCTGACTAAAGAGCAATTGCGGTGGCTGCATGAGTAGAGAAGCCTATTAGCAACAAGAAAAGACCAACGAAGCGAGTAGATGCTAAAACGAATGCCCGGCATTTTTACTTACCTGGATTGCAGCAGAAGCAACAGTACTCCCATCCATGGATACAACTCCTCCTAATGGTCCCATGTATCTGCTGATGACAAACATCAATTTCCCCCCACGAAAGAATCAAAAACGGAACTAAAGCTGCTCTAAGCCGTGGAAACGTTACAAAAAAAAAAAAACACAATGATCGACTCGATCGTACCCCATGGGTGGAAGCCCGCCAGCCCATCCAGCTACGGGCATTGGGAAAGGTAAAGAATTGGGGGTTTGAGCTGAAAAAGAAGAATAAAGAAGAGCAAGATCAGCATATCAGGAGGGCAAATTTTAGAAAGAAACACCGCGAAACAGAGCGCTCTCAAAAATTCACGCTTCCGTTCTCAAGGAAATTGGAAGAAGAGGAAGTAGAGACTGAATCAACCACATTCACCGCCCCCAAATCCCTTCAGAAAAGAAAGCAAGTGAAACAGATCTAATTACCAGATTTCTCGGTGAGGGACTGCTGCTGCTGCTGCTGCTGATGCTTATGGACAGGCTGATTAAGCTTGCTAACACTCGCATTGCCCGCTCCTCCTCCTCCATCAGCCTTCTCCAAATCGAACTGGAGATCAATATTCTTCACCTTATGAACAGCCGGCTTCTGCGATTCCGCATCCACGGCCATAGCTTTCGCCGCCTCGGCTTCTGCATTCACTGCTTCTTCCTTTCCGACCTTGGCTGTCGTCTTCTCATCATCCTTCAACGAGGGCTTCATGTCCTGCAACAAGAGAAATCATCAAAAGATCAAGACTTGTCCGCATTTTCCGTCTCCATACCCAAAAAAGGGGGCGGCCATCAAGAGAAAGGGTAAAAAACAAGGCTGGCCTACTACTACTCACAGTTCTCATATTTGACACCACAGACTTCGGATCTACTGCCGCAAAATCGATATCGCCGTCCCTTTCTGGAGATGATCTCGACGGAGGAGGAGCCTTTACTCGCCCATTAAAAGGAAAAAACCAGAGTCAGAAATGAAAAAGCACTGATGACATCTGACACAGAAGACGATGAAAAATTAGCAATCCTCACCATCAGATCTATCTGAAACTTCTCCTCTCGCTGTTTCTCCATCTCAGGAATTCCCGAGTTCCTAATGAAACGGCCCCAAAAGAGAAGGGTCAAGACTGAAATCCCATGAATCGAACCCAGAAGAATCGAAAAACAAGTGGAAAAATCTGGGATGCTCACGATTTTGTCGCTGTCTTATCCACACGGTCGTCATCCAATTGGAGACCGGAAGATTCCTTTTTGGGCGATGGCGGCTCTTCCTTGGCCGCGGCGGTGGTGACCGCATCTCTGCTCTCCGTTTCTTCGGTCAAGTGCTTGGAATCCAGCGCCGGGAAGCCTTCCAGCTTCATCGGCTCCGGTTGGTTCTCCAGCGGCACCGGAGCAGGTTGAGATTTTGCCAAATCAACGGAAGCTCCATTTTCTTCCACCGTGAATCCAAGGGCCTTCTCCATATTGGGTGAGGCGGCTTCGATCTTGGCCCCCGTCTGGTCGATTTCGGCTTTGGTCGAGGAGATGGAGCTGCTCCTGACTGGAAATATCGATGGCGTCTCGTCCTCGTACTTCACTGGACGAGGCTTTTTCCTCTTGGGTGCTGCAGATTCGATAGAGCAAAACCCCCCAACAAGTCAGTAATCGCAAATTTCAAGCGTTCTTTCAGTGAAAACTCAAGCAAAATGACCGGCGAAAACCAAGGAATCCTCCGACAGGAGCTCAGACTTGACTGCCGGAGAAGTCGAAACCCACCGATAGCGGTCAGCGGAGGTGCAGATGAACCGGAGTTTTGGGGCAAAACCGATGACGATGGCGGAGCGCCAGATTGAGAGTTCGAGATGGGAGACGAAATTCGGGACTTCGCATCGCCGGTGGAATTGTTCTCTTCCCTCGAATCGAACTTCACCAAATCGCTTCCCACGGCTTCGTTCTTCGACGGACCCTGAGGCTGCCTCATCATCCCATACAAAACCTCCGCAATCTCGATCTCGATTTCATCTTGAGCTGAAGATGTCGACTTCGATGACGACTTCGGCGGCCTCTGCTTCGGTCCGTTCGGCTTCTGCAATCACAGAAACAGAGCATTTAGCTAAAGAAGCGAATCACAGACAACAGGAGAGACGATTAAAGAGTCGGGAAACTGGGTCAAAATGAGAAGAAAGAAAAACCCACCAACTTCTTTCGAACAGAGGCATTCGAAGAAAACGGCGAAAGTGGCCTCACCGGAGAGGCCGTCGGAGCTGCGAGAGTCGGCCTCACGGGCGAGGTAGAAGCCTGCCGGAGAACTTGGTCGCCGCCGACCAAATGACCTGAAACCCACTCGTGGGACCTCTTCGTCGAGACTGAAAAATCAAGCGAAACCAAGAAGACCCAACATCAGCACATCATCGAAAAGTCTTCAGGAAAATCCATCAAAAACACCAAGAAAAGCCTTGAACAAATTGGTGTCCGTTCCAAATCGAAGTAGCCCACCGCTCTACCTGACCGAGCCTTCCTTGGCACCGTGACGCCGCCGATCATCTCATCGGGCGCTTTCCACGGCGCCGTCCTAAAGACCTTCGCCGCCGGCGGAAAGCTCCGGCGGCTGTGGTTGTTCAGGGCCGCGGCCGCGGAAGAAGACGAGAGCGAGTTCGCCTGGCTCGACGGCGCAAGCAGCCTCACGTGGTGGCCGCTCCCGCTCCCGTCGTCCTCGTCCTCGTCCTCCTCGTCGTTCACACTCTCCTCCGAGCTCTCCTCGCCCCCGTCCTCCCTGCTCAGCATCAGCCGGTCCCCTCGCCTCCTCTTCCCGCTCCTCGAGAACCGATCCCTGTCCCGCTCCCGATCTCGATCTCGCTCCCGGTCCTTCTTGCCGCCGCTCCCTCGATCTCTCAGCCTCGCCGTCTCCGCGAGCTCCACCGGCCCGTCCTCCTCTGCAAAAAGCGACACGCAAAAGGAAGAAGAAAAGCTCAGTCAAATCAGAGATTGCTTCTCCCCAACCCCCAAATCGGAAGCCCGCTGGAGAGAGAGATCTGGGTACCTGGAGAGTCTCGGAGGCCGGTCCTGTGTCGTCGTCTGGACAGGCCATTAGAAGCCGCCATGGTACCTCGTCTGGCTTCTCTGTTCCTGTCCATGATAAAGGGTTTCTCGTGCGCTCCCCCTTCTCGTCGAATCGAGCCCGATACACCAGGGAAGATGAGGACACACCCTTATCTCATCGCCGGAGCCGGAGCATAATTCGCCCGGGGGCCCGGCCGCCGGAGCCCGAATAGGCAAAGATTCCGAGCAAGCACTCGGCCAGAAAGCACACTGAATCGACGGCAAGGAGAGATCTTTCGCTGTACCCTGCTGATTGTCGCAAGATCTCACACCTTCTTCCCCCTTATCTTCTTCTTCTCCTTCTTCCTCTTCACTCTCTCCCTCTCTCTCTCTCTCTCTACTTTCTCTCTCTTCCCTCTCTCTCTCTCTCTCTACTTTCTCTCTCTGTCTGTGGGAGTCCATTGTCCTTTTATTGTGCTCTCTCATCTCATCATCTTTTCGGGGGCCATCTCGCCGATGGCGAGAAAACCCACTCGAGGGGGCCTCGTGGACGGCCGCGATGGGATCCCCCCCCCCCGTGACATGGCCGCCCCTCGCCCGTCCGATCCCTCGACACATCCGACGGCCGCGGCTCCCCCACCCGTTTCCAGCATGGCAAGATCCGGGCCGTCGGATGGCCGGGGGCCGGGGGCGAAGGGGGGGAATCGTCGGTCGCGATTTCCTATCTCGATCCCCGCCTCTCTCGTGCGCGATGGGGACACGTTTTCTTTTCCTCCCAACCCCCTCTCGCCATTTCGTTCCGGTATTTTGCATATATTACCGCGGTCGTCCCGGAAGTCTTAGATATTCCCCTTTTTGGCACGCCCTATCTGAGAAACTTCGCATCTTTACCCAAGCGTCATTAGGAAGGGCATGACATAACATGACATGGCCATATCCGCACACTTACATCGGAAATGGAAGGGCTTCAATTCTAGGAAACAATACGGGAATTGTCCTTTTACACGGCAGCGCATAGTTATCTATACTTAGAAATAAATACGTGTTATCCATAATATAATGCGTTAGATGATCGGGTATTTTTTATCGACTCATTGAACGATGAAACGAAATTAACTGCCCGCCCGATCAACGACGAATTGATTCTCACGTCATCGGACGGTGAGAGCGCCGGCTCTGTCATTACCCGAAGCGTCACTTTACTCGCGTGTTTTTCACCTACACAATCATAAATGTATCCGAACTAACATATGGCAATGTTAATTTAAACCCGTGAGTAAATGCATTACCTTGAACATCGGATTGCAAGAAATCTTAGCTTTTTTTTAGAGAGAATCCTTTTATTAATTATAGAGCATCTTATGTGGATATCTTGCCTTGTACACGTCAACGTAAGGCATTGAAGCATTATGATGTTTCTCCATTCACGTATTGATACCACAAATACGTAAGGACCAGGCGCTTGTCCGTTTCCCACGCTGCACAAAACCTAATGGGACGTAAGTGCAACAATTCTCAGATTTCGGGGACCCCAAGCGCGATTTCGGGAAACCTGAGCCGTCCACGCGTCCTACCCTGCTGTCCCGGGCAGAGGATAGAGAGAGAGAGAGAGAGACAGGGAGCAGTGAGCAGTTCTTTGTTCATTGAATGGCGACTGGCTCGCTTCCCTGCTCGCACCGCCACGTGTCGGCCTCCCCTCGCCCCTACGGCCACGAGCTCCCCATCTACACTCGATTGCCCCCATTTAATTTAAAACCCCCCCTATCGAAAAATATATATATATATAAATAAATAAAGGAAAGATCCCACCCAATAATTAAATATATTTCCCATTTAATTAATTGAGGAGTTTAAGTACTACTGACTCGGGACCAAACACAGTGACCCCCCACGATCACAAGGGTGGGGGATTTAAAGAAAAAAGAAAAAAAGAAAAAAATTGGGAAAAAAAAAGAGAGAAAAAAGGCGGGGGGCCATTGATTTTCCCCAAGCGATGTCGCTGACTGGCTATCGCCGGTTGCCCCTAGACCTCGGTAAAAGCAACATGACGATTATAAGGAATCTTGGCGACCGCCAAAAAAAAAAAAAAAAAAAAAGGGGTGGGGGGAGGGGAAATTGAGAGAAAATATATATTTTTTAAATGTCGCTCCAACCGGTCAAATTCATTGGTTCGGTTTCCACTTTTGATTATTTTAATCCATTCCCGATTTTAAAATAAAAAAATAAAAAAATTTGCCGTGAAATCATCGCTATCGCTCCTGCTATTGCTGGGGCTGAATAGATAGATAGACGAGACCCAGTAGGAAATTGACCCGCGGGGGGGGGGGGGAAGAGACAAAAAAAAATCCAAAGCGTAGCGATCGGACGGCCCCCCGCGCTCCCATCCCAAGCAAGAAACCTCCCGGGGCCGTCGGATGAGGCTGCTTCCGACGTGGCGGTGGCATCTCTTTTCCCTTTCTTCTGTTTTTTTCCCCCCCTCGTCGAGCGAAACCCGAGTCCGAGCTGGCACCGCCCAAAGGGAATCGAGCGGGGGGCCGCGAGAGCCCCACGCCGGAGCGCGTGGCGGGATCTGGACCGCGGGATCGCCCCCCGATCCGACGGCGGAGACCGGGGCTATCGGGCCCGGGGGGAAAGTCGCGGTCGCGGAACTTCCGAGAAAAAGCGCGGGGCCCACCGCATCACACGTAGAAAAGGGAAATAAAAAAATATGATCCGAAAACGCGAATAAAATAAGACCGGTTTTAGGAAATCATTTCCCCTCCCTCCTTCCTTCTCTCTCTCTCTCTCTCTCTCTCTCCCGCGGCCAATTTGTCACGTTCTTCACTGGGGATGTGGCTTTCGCTCTCCCCCCCCCCCCCCCCTTGCGGTGACGTGGACTGGGCCCCACTTGAGTTTTAAAAAGAACAATTCCTAGTGTCTTTTTTTTAATTCGAATAATCTTTTTTTTATTGGGGGAAAAGGTGCCAACAAAACAAGGCATCACTCGCCGGGTCAAATTATACAGCGCAGCTAATAAATAAAAAAAGCCCCTTTTTCCCCAATTACCCAAAAAGAAAAAACACAACAAACATCTGAAAAAGCCCACTGGTCCCTCGTCGGATCGGTTCACCGCGAGCGAAATATCGCGAGATGCAAGTCTAATTTTGATAAATCGACGGTTGTGATTCACTCGAGATCATGCGTTGTCCCAAAAAAAAAAATCTAAGAGACGGGTTTTTCTCAAAATTCAGATTTAAAATTAATTATCAATTTTTTTGCCCGAGTTAAAATTAACTAATTTCCTTTTTTTTTTGGAGACTAGGCATTTTTGGGGTTCGTTGTCGTGCCACGCGCTTCTAAGGGGGTGGGGGGCGCGTCGAGGGCCCGGCACCAACGGGCCCCGCAGTTTCGAGGATTCTCCTGTTGGAGGAAAACAAGATGAATTAAAAAGGCCAGTACAGCGTGGCGATGTCGTTCCGCCGACGTGGCGGCATATTCGGGCGGACACGTGGCGGCCTCCCTCCACCCCCTCTCAGCCGATTCCTCCGCCTTGGATCTTGCCATTGGCTATTCCCCCCCTACCCCCCGCTTTTTCAACCCCTCTAAAATAATATCTTTTTCTCCCGCCCGGAGGAATGATAGCGCCACGGGGCTGTCACCGGAGACACGAAATCTTATTTAAATCCCCAATCGCTTTTTTTACATTTAGCTCCCACTATCGAGCCGTAAAAAGATGGGAAAAAAAAAAAGGAACCGAAGGAGAAAAATCCGCACATTTTTTTATTTGTTAACCCCCTTTTTTTAGTAGATAGGAAATCAATTCCTATTTTTATTTTATGTTTCGGGATTTGGAAGTTTACATGGGCTGCTGCTGGAATTAATGGTTTGGAAAATAGGGCAATGGCTTTGTGACAAGTTGGTCAACAATTGAATACTTGGGCACTAAGCCAGCGGGGTCCATCGGCGACCGCCAACGCACCGCCAAATCTCGCGCTCGGGATTTTTGACCATTTGGTGATGGGGGGCGGGTGCGATTTTCGCCCCTTCCCGGGATTAAAAGAAGAAGAAGGAGGAGGAGACGATGTCGTTGTTATGGTCAAGGGCCGTGAGGACGGGGCGGTGAGGTTAGGGTAGCCCGGTGAAAAGGAACTAATATTCGGTGGACTTGTGTGGCCACGTCGGACGTGGTTGGGGGGAAGGGGGGCGGTGGGGCCCCGGCTAAATGGTTGACCCACCACCATGTTGGATCCACTTTCTTTCCCCCTTCTTTTGTCGATTTGTGAGTTGGGGAGAGAGAGCTGCTGCTGCTCCTCCTCCCTCCTTTCGGGCCAAAAGTGGTAAGGCAAAAATCCCACATTTTCTTCCTCTTCTTCCCTTGTAAATTTAAACACGACGTGAGGTCCGATTGGATCCGTCAAGCGGGTCGGGTCAAAAATGATCTTGTGGCCTTGAATGGATCGATTTAGCCACCTTTTAACTCGTTTCCATACGGTGCAAATATAGTGTCTCCCACACACAGCCTAGCTCTTACATGCACCAATACATATTGCTAAAACTCTTACCCGATTCACAAAAACTCATACCCCCAAACTTAGGTGATAGCTCGAAGTGAGCGAGCGCGAGAGAGAGTGAAGAGAGAGTTATAGAGGTGAGTTAGGTCTAAATAAATTATGAACCCATTGAACACCCGTTTTAGTTTAGATTTTACCATCTTAAACCTATTTACTGAATATAACCGACCATATAACAACTCGATCCTGTAAAATATGAGTTAAGAAATGGGTCTATAACCCATTTTGACATGTCTAGTTCCAATACCAATTGCTACAGCAAAGATGAGATTGTTCACATTTATTTTACAAACACTAATAGATCTGTTATCGCTAAGTTAATCCCGTAATAAATCGGCGGCAGACCCGCCGATCGCCGACCGAACCGAGGGTCTTCAGCTCGATCCGACGCCGACTGTAACGGACGCGCGCCTCGGGATTCGATTCGGCGACGATCGCTCCGCCGTCCGGGCACGCCGTGCCCATCTCCGCCAAGTGCCGCGATCCGCCGCCACGTGTGGCGGGGGAAGGGCCCCCCCGCTAAGCAGCAACATCCAGAAGGGCTCCGCGGATGTGCTCGCGACCGAAGTGCGCAACCCTAGCCGTCAACACAACCGCACGAAAGAAGAGAGAGAGAGAGAGAGAGACGGATGGAGATCTCCCCCGAAATTCTCCTGCCCCCCCCCTTCCCTCTTTTTTCCCTCCCTTTTTATTGGCGAGATCTCCCTAAACGAGTCGCTTTTCTTTGGAGCGATTAGATGCACCACCGAAGTTGCCAATAAATTAATAAATAAAAAAAAATTAATTAATAAATTAATTATAAAAAAAAACCCCCTTTTCTCTTTTTCGCTCCTCCAAAATTGACGAGAACACTTTTGTCTTGCAAAGAAAAGCTAGCGTACGGAC